ATTCATTTTCGAACATATCTTTACAACATTGTTACTCATAAAGTTCTGGGCTACAGATAAGCTAGAGCGCGTCTCCGGATGCCAACCCTACATAGTTACAGAGTGAACACACACTAAGTTACACAGTTGGAAAAATAGTAACTTAATCCCTATCTTGACTCGGTGTGGTTCTACAACAACATCCTCATTAAGATGCCTTAAACTAGGCCTAAGAATGCCTAGAATGGAATGAGGATACAAAGATGCACTTTAAAAACAGTTTCAGGATTTTCAGAAAATAGAGATCCCGTTCGAGCGTCACTTACCACGCTCGAGCGGATATGCAAACAAAATACTCCGCTCGAGCGCGAGTTACCCGCTTGAGCGGGATGTGAAACATGCAAAAAGTACTGGATGTGTGAAAATCACGCTCGATTGGGCGCTCAATATCTGCTCGAGCGTGTGACACAAGTCCTCGCTCGAGCGTCCAATACCCCGCTCGAGCGGACTGTAAAACAGATGGAAGTACTGGGAACATGATTTTCCTGCTCGAGCGCCAGTAAACCCGCTCGAGCGGAAGTTCAAATTCTGGAAATTCCAGATTCGAACCTCAAGCTCAAAACCAAGTTTCAAAATACCAAATTCGATCCTTTTGGGCTAATTTTCTAGAAAACACTTCAAAACTCATAATATAACATGTTTTAAAGATCAATTTGAGAAATCAAAGCCCAAAGGTAGTTCAATTAAATCCAATTTCAAACCAATTTTCATGAACATAGCTCAAACATGACATGCATGAGTTTAAACCAATTCAAAGCTTCAATTACATGCTCTAATGAGCTAATTCTCCAGAAACAAGATGAATTCATGGTCCAATGCAAAAATATGGACATGCATGAGGAATTTCATGAACAATAATTTCAAAACTCAAGAATGGCAACATGCATGCATGATATATGCTACAATTCAACATGCTAGAACCAAATCATGACTTAGCTCTTCAATATGACATGAACCATGCAAGAACCAACTTAAAGACACAATTAAGAGGTTGAAATCCTTACCTAAGTCTTCAATTAAGGTATGGAAGTTCTATTCTTGCAATCTTCCTACAATTTCTCAAAGTCTCCAAGCCAATATGAGATGAAATCAAGGTTTTCTCCTCTCTCTCTCTCTCTCTAGTCGGCTAGGGACTCAAGAAGGCTGATGAAATGTTTTGTTTAAATGTATTTAGACTCAAATATGTTCCAAGTAATGGGCCACTAAGTGGCAAATTTGTGATTTAAGCCAATTAGTGAAATTTAGCATTATTTAATCTAGTTAAATCATACCAAGTCACATTTCAAATAAATATGCCATAAAATCACATAAATTATGATTAACACATATCATTAATCAATTTCAGATTCAGCCGCCGATAAGGCCTTCAATTTGCAGTTTAAAGCATAAAACACGAATAGATAATTTAACAGTCAACAGATAGATATGCATTCAACTAGCACAATCAATCAATCAATTTAGTGATTTCAGTTAATTCAGTCAATTATCATAATCAGTCTCAGTTTAACAGTAATCAGTAGGGTTATCAGTAAATAGTGGTGAAGGTTGTCACAGCGGGCGAGTCAAAACCGAATCGCAAACCGCACAAAATCGATCCGCGAGCACCCTTAATTGTACCCAACATCACGTTTTGGTACCATGAGAATAAGGGCACTCGTCAATCTTTTCTTGAGTTCTTGGAATGAATTTTCACAGGACTCGTTCCATTTAAACTTAACCCCCCTTTGAGTCAAATATGTCATTGGTTTGGCCAATTTTGAGAAGTCTTGAATAAATCTTCGATAGTAACTGGCCAATCCTATGAAAATACGAATCTCAAATGTGTTATTAGGTTGTGTAGCTCAACTTTTCGTGCTTCTTTCGAAAGACGATAAGCCCTACAGTATCGGACTCCCGTGGTTCTGAATCTAATCTCATAAGTGCAATGTGAAATAGATAAACACCAAAGAGTCCAAATCTAACAAATGTTTTGGAAAATCGATTTTGAATTAAAATGCCAAAAATGGATTGCTTTGCGAGATATAGAGTCGCCACCTAGGTTTGACGCTGGCCGAGACCCTGATGGGCTTAGATGCTTTTCAACGATGAGAGACCACTAGGTTTGCGGGGAGTCCACTAATTCTTCAAGTATTATTCCCCACCCTTTCTGATATATGCCTCACATATCATTTGGCACTCATGCTCTATTTTCTCTCAAAGCTCTTTCTTTACTTTTCACTCCACGCACATCTCTCTATTCTTTAATCTCTCTTATTTTTCATCCCTTCCCAAGTATGGCTCATAGATAAGTTGAAGGTGGTAGAATCTTGCCCTGAGTACTTAGCTCGAGCTTATTTCTTCCGCCAATGACTAGTGGATTTTCCCACCGAGGGATGGTGGTGCAACTGGATGTACAGTAGATCTGCAACTGAAATAGCTTGGCGTTGCCCCTGTCTTCATCTGACTGAGATGAGTTACAGTATGACTCAACAGCCTGGCATACAGTTGATTGGCCTTACGCACAACGTGTTTTACTTTTCCTTTTGGTTCAGATGCCAGTTTGGACATGATCAGACTTACCCAGAGGAGGGGGTAGAATATCCAACTTCATTTCCAATTCGTGCTTCACACTTGGCTAAGTACCTCACTGCTTGGAGGACGAGAGAGCTTCTGCCCCCTGCCCCTAGTTTCAGTTATGCCCTTTCTGGCGAATGCTTGGCTTAGCTTGAGGATGAGGCAAAATCGAGTCCACTTTGGCTTCTACAAGCACGAGTAGAGGACGTAGGAACACCTGACTCTTCTATGCCCCTCATTCATTGCTTTGACCTTTCTTTTCAAGTTTTATGATGTAAAAGCAACTTTGATTTGTAGCGGAGAGTTGGAGAACTTTATGTTGAAATCAATGGAATTAAAGTTGTGAGCACTAAAAATTTTCCTTTTGGTCCAAAAATGGTCTAAGTTGTAAAAGGTAAAATTTTGAACAAAATCAATTTTTATTCAAACTTTTCAAAAACATTTTCGAAAGTGATCATTACCTAACACACGTACAATTGATCCTCAAGATGTACAACCCCGAATCAAAAGATCATAACTGCCCCTGATTAAACACCACTACTGCTCTACATGTAACCAGCTCTTCTTCCCAAAATAAAGAGCACAACCGAACTAACAGATGATGAACAAAGATGACCCGATCAGAAAGACGGACATGATAGTTGATTTGGAGATGGTTACGGCCGAACTTCAGGATAAAGTTACATATGTATCCCAAAGATGGGAATCAGGTCTTACGTAGTTCGGTTCAGGTTCACTCAAGTATTAACTTTCTCCTTTTGTGCTCTAACTTTTGCCAAAGTTGCCCTTTAAGGTTTTCAACCTTGCGAGCTCAGTTTTTCTTTGTTTCTAATTTTTCATGCTCTAACTTTTGCTTAGGTAGCCCTTTCAGGTTTTCGGCCTAGCCAGCCTCTCAGGTATAGTATTTCTTTAACTTGTCCATGTTGATCGGCTGTGAAAATTCTAGGCCATCTAAGTCCATGAGAATAACTGCCCCTCATGACCATATAGCTTTGATGATGTAAGAACCAATCCAATTGGGTTTGAACTTATTCCTAGGGTCATAAATGAGAGCTCAGTTGTCTTCCAGCACTATGTCTCCCTCTTTAAGATTTATGGACTTAACTTTCTTGTTAAAAGCCCTGGCAATTCTACGCTGGTAACCTTGAACATGATACAATGCCTTCAGCTTTCTCTCATCAAATAGCATTAACTCCTCAAATCTGCTCTGTTGCCAATCCACCTCTGTTATCTGACACTCAGCCATAACTCGCAACGATGGGACTTCAATTTCAATTGGCAGAACAACCTCTATCCCGTAGACGAGAGAATAAGGGGTTGCCCCTGTAGATGTCCAAATCAAAGTTCTGTAACCCCAGAGTGCGAATGACAATTTATCTGGCCCGTCCCTGTAGGTCTCAACCTTGTTCTGCGAGATGTTCTTGATATGCTTATTGGTGGCTTCAATAGCTCTATTGGTTTGTGGTTTGTATGTAGATGACTTATGAAAAGCAACATTGTATTTCTCCAGCAAGTCTATCACCTCTTTCTTAAAGTGAGAGCCATTATTTGATATGATCTCATTGGGAACTCCATACCGACAGATGATATTGTTTCTGATAAATTTGGCCACATGCGATGCTTTTAACACTGCATAGGACTAAGCTTCCACACACTTTGTAAAATAATCAATCGCCACCAATATATATTCATGCCCATTTGACCCTTTTGGCGTGACTGCACCGATAACGTCGATTGCCCAGACTGAGAAAGGCCATGGCAAAGTCATGTTATAAAGCTTTAATGGCGGAATATTTATGCGATTGACATGAATTTGACATTTGTGGCATCGCCGCACAAAACCAATACAATCCTCCGCCATGGTAGACCAGTAATAATCTTGCCTGAGAATCTTTCGGGCTAACATCACACCATTCATATGCGCCTCGCATTCTCCGCCGTGGATGGCCTCCATAAGGCGCTTCAATTCCTCTTCTTCCACACACAACTTATACATTCCCAGATGACCTCTTTTATACAGCTTATATCCGCAGATGATAAATTGGACAGCCATTCGCCGTATTCCCCGTCTGCCTTTGGCATTTGCCCCTGGTGAATACACCTCATTTTCTAGAAAGTTTCAAATATCGTAATACCAGGGGTTTTTGTCTTGCACTTCATCTAACGCGGCAATAGTTTCATAAGCCGGCGTATATTTCTGTTCGATGATAATTAGATGCATCTGGACTCCAAGCGGGATGTCTACCATAGAAGATAGAGTTGCTAAAGCATTAACGAACCTGTTATTCTCTCTTAGTAGACCCGTGAATGTCAAATTTTCAAACCGCGGAATCAAAATATCCAGGGTCTGATGGTAAACCTTCATCTTTCTTCCTTGACTTTCCAGTCCCCATTTGCTTAAGAAATTATTAAGTTTGAGCCCTGATGACATCCAACCTCATTGCCTCTTGTTCCAGGGTAGCTTCTAAACCAGCAATACACGCTTCATATGCTACTTCGTTGTAGGACACCTTGAACTGGAGTTTGAAGGCTAAAGGCATATGGGAGTCGTCAGGTGCTATCACCAAAACACCTATCCCATAACCGTAATGATTGGACGTTCCGTCAAAGTACATCGTCCAAGTTTTCTCCTCAACTTGCAAAATGGCTTCATCTGGGAACAAGTATTCCACTTCTTCGTCCCCTTCTACCAGGTGGTCTGCTAGGAACTCTGCTACAGCTCTTCCCTTTATCGACTTACGGGTGACATATTTAAGATCAAATTCGAAGAAAAGAAGTAACCAACGAGCCAGCCTACCCGTAAGCGCCTATTTCTTAGAGAGATATTAGATGGGATCTAATCTCAAAACCAGGATGACAGAGTGGGCTAACAAATAGTGCCTCAACTTCCTGGTAGCCTATACCAAGGCCAGACAAGCTTTCTTCAAAGGAGTGTACCGGGTCTCATAGTCTAGCATTTTCTTGCTCAAGTAGTAGATGGCTCTCTCTACCCTATCTTCATATTCCTGAGTGAGCATGCATCCCATGGTCGTGTCTATTATTGACAGGTACAGAATCAAAGGCTTTCCCGGCTCTAGTGCCGACAACACGGGCGAATTCTAGAGATACTGCTTAACCTGCTCAAAGGCAAATTGACATCGATCGTCCCATCGGAATTTCTTCCCTTTCTTCAGGAGACCCAATAGTGGTTCACAAGTTAAGGTTAATTTGGAAGTAAACTGTCTTATGAATTGCACTTTACCTAGAAAGCTTCGCATCTCCTTTTAAGTCCTTGGTGGTGGCATTTCTAGGATGGCCTTGATTTTGGAAGGATCTATTTCAATGCCCCTTTGTGTGATCAAAAAGCCCAGTATTTTTCCTACTGTTACGCCGAAAGTGCATTTCTACAGGTTTAACCTCAATCTGTATTCTTTGATCTGTTGAAAGAATTTCTCCAAGGCGTTGTAGTGGCCCTCTCGTTCTTTGGATTTGACAATCATGTCGTCTACATACACCTCAACCTCTTTGTGGATCATGTCATGCAGAATAGTGGTCGCAACCCTTTGATAGGTAGCTTTAGCATTTTTCAACCCAAACGGCATAACCCAGTAGCAGTAGGTTCCCTACGGTGTAGTGAATGCAGTTTTGTCTCTATCCTTGGGCGCCATTAGAATCTGGTTATACAAGGAAAACCCATCTATAAACAATAGCAATGCATGGCCCGCAGTGAAGTCCATTAACTCATCAATATACGACAGACGAAAGTCATTCTTCGGACTGGCTCTGTTCAAGTCCCAGAAGTTTACACACACCTAAATTCTGCCATCCTTCTTTGGCACTGGGACAATAATGGCCAACCAAGTCGGATACTCAAATACCAACAAGAAACCTGCCTCGATCTGCATGGTGACCTCTTCCTTGATTTTCAATGCCCAATCTGGAGGGATTCTACGCAACTTCTGCTTAACTAGTCGAGCCTCGGGGTCAAGAGGGATCCGATGTTGTACAATCTCAAGATTGATTCCAGGCATATCTTCGTAGGACCACGCGAAAACATCTTTGAAATCTTTTAACAAAGTGATTAAATACTCGCGCTCCTCCGAAGACAACGTAGACCCGATCTGGACTAGGCACGGATCCTTCTCAGTACCTACATTAATGGCAATGATTTCATCAGCACATGGTCTAGTAAACCTCTCTTTCTCCCGATTAATCAAGTTTTTCAAAGCCAGAGGAATTTTTTCCCTTTCATTTTCGTTAAAATTTTGAAAATCCTGGTCAATGCAATAAACCAACGGCACAGAGAAGTACACAGAATCTGCAGAGTTCTCATTCAAAAGGTCTAGATCTTCGGTTACAGACTCAAAAGAAAAGCTGAATGAAGTCCTAGACAGGACTTTGGTACCCGGGTTACCACCTCAAAAAATACCAAACTCAGACTCAAAAGAACTTAAATCTAATCCTGACTCCACAAACTCAGTGGAATCAGATTCTAGTTCATCACTCGATTTAGAACTAGACAAATAACCTTCCTTCAGCTTCCAGATAAGAGATGGTACCCCTGATGCATCCAAAATGCTGCTGGTTGGGTTCACACATGGTTCTGCCCCGATCATAGAGACAGTAAGGTTATCCCCCAAGTTTTCTAGGTCGGCTGTAGGATCTTTCAGGAGAGAAGCCAGTGCTACCCCTACTCCAAGTTTGATGCCATCTGAGTCAGTTTCCATGCTCTGTTCAGCTTTGATGCTTGGTTCAGCCTTTTCCTCAACATCACTATCTTGCAGGTGCAGATCAAAGAAGATCTCAAACTCGGGAAAACGTTGTTTCGAAGAATTTACCCAAGGCTCGGGAAAGCCGTAAAAAGAGAAATATTCTCCCTCTCGAATAAAGCGACCATTTAGTGTCCCCTGGATTGTCCTATGGATAAGCTCGTAGTGCTTCCTGGCTTGCTTGGCCTTGGTTTTGCCTTTCATCTCTTTCCTTTTTCTAATTTAGTCTCTTTAGTGGGCACATAGCCCAGTCCAAAGGCATATGGGTTGTGTGGCACATCTGTCAGTGTTACAACGCCTTTCCGACCACTCCTTCTGAGCCTCATTCTTGGAACATGCTGTAGTTTGTTCATGAAATAGATGGACTGAGCGTTGACGTACATGCCTTCGTCTGTGGCCAAAATGGTCTGCATGACCCGAGCTTCAGCTAGAGTGAAACCCGAGAGGAATACATCCTTCTAGCCATGGGTGATCTCCAGCACTGGCACAGTTACCTCTGGCGGCGGATGGATGGATGAATTCCCAAAAACAATTGCCACTCCTCCCTCATGAGGTGGAGAGTGGAAGAGACAACCTTCACATGGTGCAACCAGGGCCTCCCTAACAACAAATTAAAGGTAGCCGGCACATCTAAGACACGAAACTCGACCTCTTACTTAGTCGGGCCCACTTGGACTCTGACTTGCACTGTGCCCATGACCTTTCTACTTGTGTTATCAAATGCCCAAATTATTTGGGCTGTGGGAACAAAGTCCGCTAGTTTGAGTCCAATTGCATAGGCAGTGCAAGAAGGACAGCCGTTGATGGTCGAACCGGTATCTACTAACACTACTGGCATCCATTTTTCCTTGCACTCCATAGATATATACAAAGGTTTATTGCGGGCTGAGCCTTTTGACAGTAGTTATTTGTCAAAGAAGGGTAGAGTTGGCCTGGCACCACTTGGAAAAACCAATCCTACCAGCTGCTCGAACGTGGTGTCAATGAACAATTTAGCCTTATCTATTGCCGACAACACTGCATGTTGGTGTACCCAGGAGGTCATGAGAAGACCCCAGATTGAGATGTCAGCTTGGATTTTCTTGAGTTATTTTAACATTGCCTTTTCTTCTAATTGTTTCTCTTTATGTTTCTCTACACCTCTATCTTTTCTAGATGCCTCTGCTTGATCTAGGTGTAACGGCTTAAAATATCGCCCACTTCTTGTCAAATGGTCTATTTCTTCAGCATACCATGTATTGTCCAGAAGGCACTCACCCCAGTCCTCGTCAGTATGTGCCAAATGCAGATCATTATCGTCCCACTATTCACCCTCAATGGTCGACAAACAGTTGTCTAGCTCTGCCTGTATCACCTTTACATCATAGGTGCCCCCGCAGGGTGTTGTGCATTCACAGCTTCTCGACTGTCTTCAACTTTTTCTAGTTCAAACTGCCTCAGTGCAACTTCATGTTCTGTATCCACAGTGCTTATAACGCCCACTTCTGGGGCTGGGTTTTCCACACCAGCGTTCTCCAGCAACTTTCCTTTTTCATCTGCCCTTCTGGTCACTGCAACTATCTCTACTTCTTTTCTCTCTTGTTTCATTTCAGTTCCTTCCTCCTTATTTGGTTCATCACTCAGTTATCTAGAGTTATCAGTTGATCCGTTCAAGTCAAACCAACCGATCTGTACATCTCCCTGATCCTGCTCGTCAAAGAACTGTAGCTTGTCCAAATCCTCCTCGAGTTCTTCTAGATCATCCAATCCCTGGCTCGGGCTATCTTCTCTGACCACATTGACATCTACTGAGGTTGGCAGTACCAATTCAAGCTTGATTTGATCAGTTGGCACAATGTAGCAACTTGGATCATACACCCTATCAGGTAAGTCCTCAGGGCACTCCGGTAACGGACTAGTACTTTCCTCCAAGGTTGACTCCCCTTTTACTGTAAGTATCACCACAGGCTTGGGTTGAAGGTTGGACGTGTCCATCATGCACAAATCTACGCTTTCCAGAATGAACAACGTTGGTTTTGGTAGGTGGGAGAGAATAATGTATCTGTTGGGGTCATAAGGGGTAACCAATGTATGGATCAGGTTGAGATTTCAAGGTGGGGGACTTGGTTATGGGCTGGGAGTGGATTTGTAGTTACGTTTGTCTTCTAAGGTGGAGTGATCACCTTGTTGTCAATGAGATCTTAAATCTCATGACGCAATCGAAAACACTGGTCGGTATCGTGACCATGCTGTTGGTGAAACACGCAGTATTTTGCGGGGTTGTGTTTAGGTGGAAGAAGATCAGGCAATGGACAGGGTTCTAAGGGTTTAAGGTGCCCTTTCTTGACTAGTACCTTCATGGCTTGAGAGAGAGTCATGTATAGTTGATTGAAAGTCCTCTAGGACCAGACAAGGTTGGACAATGTTTGTGTGCTTGTATTGGCAAAGGGTCGGCAGCCTTGATTGTGGTGACAACACTTACATCTGACAGCCTCACAGCTGTGCTACAACCAGCAGCATTGGAACTGCAGACAAACGACCTTTTTGTCAGCTTTTTCTCATCTGTGATAAGCCATTGTTTCATGGCGTCTTCAATTTGTACCCCTATTTCATGGAGCTCTGTACATGTAAACAAAGATAGGACGATCATCTTCTGCAATAACTTGGCATGTAGATTTCAAACAACCGTCCTGATCTGATCCTTCTCAGAAGGCCTCGTAATCATCATTAAGGCTTTAGCTCTCCACCTTGTCACAAATTCAGAGAAGTCCTCCTTCGGCTCTTGGCGTGTTACCTCAAGATCACGAGTTGTGACCTCGATTTGAGTATTGTACAAATACTACGCAATGAAGGCCTCGGCCATCTCCTCTTAATTCTACTTGACAAAGTCTTCCAACTTAACACACCATATGGCCGCTATACCTGACATGGTACGGCCAAAGAGAGATAACTTTTGTAGTCTAGTCAAGCCCATCGGCCACAAGATGTCTGAAAACAGCCGAAGGTGAACCATAGGATCTCTAGAACCGTCAAAACGATCAATGTGCGGATTTTAAACCGATCTGGCAATGTCACTGCAGAATCGGTATACCCGTCCTCTATATCCGAAATTGAGTTAACCCCTTGTGCTCTCTTGAATAACTTTTCCAGTTTATTAACCTTGAGTACAGTTGGGTCAACCTCAAACTCAAACGGAGCCTCATAAACCGAGGTTTTGGAGGCTTATATTGGGATTGGCTTTGCTAGATTGCCTTGGTTTTCTTGGACATTGATAGTATGAGCAGTGGCTCCGGGTGCTG